CACTTTGTCCGTAATCTCTACAGCGAATTCCTTATTGTACAGTTTCTTTACACCCTTCATAAGCTTAGCAAATGTGTCCGGTTGTGGCATAAACTCCATCTCCATCATTTCAAGACAATAAGCACACGCCTCCTTCACAAAACCTTTCGAGAACAAGGCATGGACCCATATCGTCCAAGTCGATACATTCACCTCTTTACTTGTGATGATGCATCTCCAAACATCTTCACCCATTTCAAGCTTCCCATCTCTTAAAAGACTACTCACTAATGACTTCAGAGTTCCGTATTGAGGAACAGAGAATAGTCCTCGAGTTACCATTTCTTTAAAGTGATCGCAGGCTTCGAGTAAACAACCTTGGCTTGTTAAAGCACTGATCATGATAACAAACGTATCTACTTCAGGAACCAACCCGTTTGCTTCCATTTCCTTCCATAACCGAACAGCTTCTTTCACTTCTCCCAATTTACAAGCCAATCTGATGACCACATTGTAAATGTCAAGATCAAGACGATAGCCTAACTGCTTCATCTTCACCATCAGCTCCAAACACTCTTCATACTTTTCCTTCTTCTCATGAGCCACCATGATATGCATATAAGTCAACTGAGACGGCACGAGACCTTTCTTCATCATATCATCTAACACATGATAACACTTATCCATCTTTCCCCATTTGCAAAACCCACTAACCAACGCAGTGTAAGTCACAGCATCAGCCTCACACTCATACCTCTCCATCTCAACGAAAACGCTCATCGCTTCCTCCATTCTATCTACCTTACACAGCGCCTGGATCAAAACAGTGTAACAATTCGCGTTTGGCTCAAACCCTCTCCTTCTCATATCTTTCATTAGATCATAAGCATCTGCCATTTTACCCGCATGAGCATACCCGCTTAGCAAGTTGGTGTAATCAACGACGTCTGGCTCAAATCCAGCTTCCTTCATCTGAACCAAAACATGTTTAGCTTCCATCATCTTCCCTTCCCTGCACCAACCACACAACAAGCAAGTAAAATACCTGAGATTTCTCGGAAATCGAACTCTCATGTCCTCGAAAAGCTTTGCAGCGTCCTTAACGCTGCCGTTTTTACACAACGCGTCGAGCAAACACCCAAACACGTACTCGTCCGGCGCTGAACCGAGCTTATGCATTTCGTCGAGCACTTCAACGGCTTTCTTCACCATAACCGCAGACGCGAATCTCCGCACCAGAACCACAAACAATTCCGGCTCAATCAACTGCGGATTCTCCTTCCTCATCTCTTCGATTAAACCCCAGACGGCTTCGAATTGCCGCATTTTGCTTAGAATCTTCACCATCGATCTGTACACTTCGTAGCTGTGGCAATACCCAGGTCGCTTCGCCGCCCACACGAAGAATCTGTAACCTAGATTCCCGGCATCCCCGCAACGATTCAGTACCCGTTCGATTAACCCGGGTCTGAGCTCAACGCCCGATTCGTCAAGCGCGAGTTCCAACTTCGGGACCCTCGAGTGAAATTTCCGCAGAATTCTGTATGCTTTCTCGACGTCACTCGCGAATTCATCGTACTTGGAGGTTTTCGTACGCTCGCTGTGGCTCTTCTCGAGACAAACTAAGCCGATCCCGTTGCTTCTCCGGAAATTATCTTCGAGAACTCTAGAAACGTGAAAATTTCTGTGAATCAGATCAAACCGAGACTTGAATTGGGAAGAAGATGCGAAGACGAATTGGCGTTTGCTGAGAAAACACTCGAATATGTGATAGAATCTACGCATCTCGTAAAGTAAACGGCAGCATTGATGATAATTTGCCTCCACTTTGTCGCATTTTCTTGGGAATAAAAAATAAAAAGTCGTCCTTCAGAGAAAATAATAATATTCGGGCCTAGCCTTAATGGGCTTTATCAGCGATTTTGGGCCCATTTAAGTAATTGGGCCGTTCCGACATAAATTGTGCCGTTCGGACACAGACATTTCCGACATAAAATAGGGAAACCGGAGTTCGGACATAGACTATTCCGACATAAATAGAGCCGTTCCGACATCTGATTTTCCGAAAAAAATTAAGGTTGTTCCGACATAAAATGGTGACGTTCGGACACAAACATTTCCGACATAAAATGGTGACGTTCGGACAGAAACATTTCCGACAGAAATAGAGGCGTTCGGACATCTGATTTTCCGACATAAAAAGGTCGTTCGAACATAATTTTTTCCGACAAAAACGGGCTGTTCGGACATACAAATTTCTGACATATAATAGGGACGTTCGGACATAAACTTTTCCGACAGAAATAGAGGCGTTCGGACATCTGATTTTCCGACATAAAAAACGTCGTTCGGGCATAAATTTTTCCGACAAAATAGAGGGCTGTTCGGAGTTAAAATATCCCGACGAAAAAATTGGGTTCTGTTAGTTTCCGAAAAATAATTGGGCTTTCTATTGGCCCATTTCAAAAATCAATTGGGTTAGGATCGGCCCATCCATACATAAAATTGGGCCCGTTTGGACATTAAAATTTGATATAAATAGTGTCGTTCGGACATGTAGTTTTCCGACATAAAATACGGACTTCGGACAAAAAGTTTTCCGACGTAAATTTGAGCCGTTCAGACATAATATTTTCCGACATAAAACTGAGCTTTCCATCGACCCATTCTGACCTCAAATTTGGATTTACCCAAGTTACAAAAACATTTGTTTAGTTTTTTACGAGAGTGAAAAAAAGAATTCTAATTAGTTTATTTTTCAGTAATCAGGCATTGAGTGACTAATCTTTCCTTCACCTTCCTCCATTTTCTTCTCCGTCATCTTCAACCAAATACAGACTCCTGTGAAGCTAATCACTAAGCTCGCGATTCCACTTCCAAGCCCAATCCCAACGATCGCTATAACTGATAATCCCTTGCTCTTCATCTCCTCCAATGGGTATCCGTACAACTTCTTGTTCCCTACGAACGAGCTCGAATTGAACCTCGGGAAATTTCCGTTTCGAGTCGCCAGATTCACCGGAATCGGACCGGATAATTTGTTGTTCGAGACATCGAACGCCGTTAATCTCGCGAGAAGCCCGAATTGTTCTGGGATTTGACTGGAGAGTTGGTTATCGTGAAGATCGATGACGTTTAAGTAAGCGCAGAGAGTGAGCTGAGGTGAGATTTGACCGGAGAGACGGTTAGATGAGAGGTTAAGAACAGCGAGGTTGACTAACAGCTGTAACTCCGCCGGAATCTCGCCGGAGATTTGGTTGGAAGATAGATCTAGAGATTGGAGATTTGTGCAGTTAGAGAGGAAAGGAGAAATGGAGCCACGGAGAGAGAGGTTGGTCAAGGAGAGCTTGTAAATTCGGCCGTTGTTGCAAACGGCTCCGGGAAGATAAGAAGTGAAACCGGAGCAAGGATTGGAGAAGAATGGTTTAGTCCAGTTAATGAGGTTATTCGCCGGATCCTCTAAGCTTAGACGGAGATTCGCCAAGCACGCTTCGTCGTTCGGGTCACCGGAGACTAAACGCTGTGCCGTTTTGAAACAGAGAAGGAGGAGGAAGATTAACCGGTAGCTAAACCGGTGATTCGCTGGCATTGGAGAGATTTTTCAAAAAAGGTTAAAGAAGAAGAAGGTGGTTTCACGTGAGTGTTTAAAAACGAAAAGAGAATGCAGAGAAGAAACAGAAAATGTGTTCTTGGAGGAGTGAGTGATCATCTTTCGGCCGGGTTTTAATGCGCACGTTAGTGTAAAGTCTTGGGGAGGTGCGCAAAATAGAGATTTGACAGATCAGTATTTCTCCATTAAGGGATTAAAAAACTGATTATATAAATTTCGTGTACACAATAGTCTCTATCAAAATTGAGTTTCTTTATCGTTTTCAGCTTTTAAAATAGTTTGTAGGAGGAATAGACCAAAGGTTTCATGCTTAGTCATGTCACACCGCATTAGCAATTTAGTATGATGCAGGGTATTGAATTCGGTAATCTTAGTTTTGAAGATTATTATTCGACAAATCTTTCTCTCTTTTTTCCTATATAAATAATTAAATACTGTGACAACATTTGTTTTTTGTTGGCCAGGGATTAGAACGAGATTGATACCCCATAAGTAGATAAGTTCAAATAAATATATGCACGTTTTCTAAGCACTATTGAGAAAGACAAACCAGACAATTGTCTTTACCTTTACGCTAAAAGAATTGTGTGGCTCAATGAATTGTCAACATTAACAAAAACTACACGAACGGATAGAAATTGGAATTGGATGGGCATGTTGTTCTTTTAGTGTTTCCACTGTTTCCAGTTTCTATATATAAACCAAACTATATTTGATAGCTACACATATTTATACAGTGATTTAAGTATTAAGAAGGAAAGACAAACCGAATCCAATGTTCAAGCAACAGCGGCTTTGGAACAGACATTGATGACATCATCTAGAGATGGATGATCTCCAGTTCCTTCGTCTTTTCGACCGTACAATAGTTTCTTGCCTCTGAACACAAACGTACCTCCCTGAGAAGAAGAAATAGCACAAAGGATCACAAAAATGCAGACAAGTTTTATCTTGTCTTGGCGACGAACCAAACAAAGAAAGAAACAAACCTGTTGCAAGACACTGCTTCTGTCTTCAGGAGTGGCTTCAATGGTGTAATTCTTTGTAGCTGCTCGTAATTCGTCAAATCTTGAGAAGACTTTAGCCTGTAATAATCAAAAGTTTCTAAGATGTTCTGAGGTGAAATAGTATATTACAATCTAAGTTGAGGCAGTCCATACGCTAGCTGGGTTGAAGAAAGTGCGGCCTAAACCATAGTATAAACCAAGAACATCATACGCCTGCACAGATTAAGACAAACATAAGTGAAACGGTCTCAATCCAAGGGAGGAACATCAAATGGACCAAATTTGGGAACCGGAAGAGGTAAGGAGTCCGAAATGTACCTCTGTGCCTCCACATTGTGGAAACTCACTTGTAGTGTATAAGATGAACTAGATGGACCCATACTTACCCAAACATGGATTAATAGCTTCTACACATGACTATGAGGACAAACATGAGTGAAACGGTCTCAATCCAAGGGAGGAACATCAAATGGACCAAATTTGGGAACCGGAAGAGGTAAGGAGTCCGAAATGTACCTCTGTGCCTCCACATTGTGGAAACTCACTTGTAGTGTATAAGATGAACTAGATGGACCCATACTTACCAAACATGGATTAATAGGTTCTACACATGACTATGAGGACAAACATGAGTGAAACGGTCTCAATCCAAGGGAGGAACATCAAATGGACCAAATTTGGGAACCGGAAGAGGTAAGGAGTCCGAAATGTACCTCTGTGCCTCCACATTGTGGAAACTCACTTGTAGTGTATAAGATGAACTAGATGGACCCATACTTACCAAACATGGATTAATAGGTTCTACACATGACTATGAGGACAAACATGAGTGAAACGGTCTCAATCCAAGGGAGGAACATCAAATGGACCAAATTTGGGAACCGGAAGAGGTAAGGAGTCCGAAATGTACCTCTGTGCCTCCACATTGTGGAAACTCACTTGTAGTGTATAAGATGAACTAGATGGACCCATACTTACCAAACATGGATTAATAGGTTCTACACATGACTATGAGGACAAACATGAGTGAAACGGTCTCAATCCAAGGGAGGAACATCAAATGGACCAAATTTGGGAACCGGAAGAGGTAAGGAGTCCGAAATGTACCTCTGTGCCTCCACATTGTGGAAACTCACTTGTAGTGTATAAGATGAACTAGATGGACCCATACTTACCCAAACATGGATTAATAGGTTCTACACATGACTATGAGGACAAACATGAGTGAAACGGTCTCAATCCAAGGGAGGAACATCAAATGGACCAAATTTGGGAACCGGAAGAGGTAAGGAGTCCGAAATGTACCTCTGTGCCTCCACATTGTGGAAACTCACTTGTAGTGTATAAGATGAACTAGATGGACCCATACTTACCAAACATGGATTAATAGGTTCTACACATGACTATGAGGACAAACATGAGTGAAACGGTCTCAATCCAAGGGAGGAACATCAAATGGACCTAACCGGAAACCGAAATGTACCTCTGTAGTGTCACTTGTAGTGTATGGAACTAGATGGACCCATACTTACCCAAACATGGATTAATAGGTTCTCCACATGACTATGAGGACAAACATGAGTGAAACGGTCTCAATCCAAGGGAGGAACATCAAATGGACCAAATTTGGGAACCGGAAGAGGTAAGGAGTCCGAAATGTACCTCTGTGCCTCCACATTGTGGAAACTCACTTGTAGTGTATAAGATGAACTAGATGGACCCATACTTACCAAACATGGATTAATAGGTTCTACACATGACTATGAGGACAAACATGAGTGAAACGGTCTCAATCCAAGGGAGGAACATCAAATGGACCAAATTTGGGAACCGGAAGAGGTAAGGAGTCCGAAATGTACCTCTGTGACCTCCACATTGTGGAAACTCACTTGTAGTGTATAAGATGAACTAGATGGACCCATACTTACCCAAACATGGATTAATAGGTTCTACACATGACTATGAGGACAAACATGAGTGAAACGGTCTCAATCCAAGGGAGGAACATCAAATGGACCAAATTTGGGAACCGGAAGAGGTAAGGAGTCCGAAATGTACCTCTGTGCCTCCACATTGTAGTGTATAAGATGAACTAGATGGACCCATACTTACCAAACATGGATTAATAGGTTCTACACATGACTATGAGGACAAACATGAGTGAAACGGTCTCAATCCAAGGGAGGAACATCAAATGGACCAAATTTGGGAACCGGAAGAGGTAAGGAGTCCGAAATGTACCTCTGTGCCTCCACATTGTGGAAACTCACTTGTAGTGTATAAGATGAACTAGATGGACCCATACTTACCAAACATGGATTAATAGGTTCTACACATGACTATGAGGACAAACATGAGTGAAACGGTCTCAATCCAAGGGAGGAACATCAAATGGACCAAATTTGGGAACCGGAAGAGGTAAGGAGTCCGAAATGTACCTCTGTGCCTCCACATTGTGGAAACTCACTTGTAGTGTATAAGATGAACTAGATGGACCCATACTTACCCAAACATGGATTAATAGGTTCTCACATGACTATGAGGACAAACATGAGTGAAACGGTCTCAATCCAAGGGAGGAACATCAAATGGACCAAATTTGGGAACCGGAAGAGGTAAGGAGTCCGAAATGTACCTCTGTGCCTCCACATTGTGGAAACTCACTTGTAGTGTATAAGATGAACTAGATGGACCCATACTTACCAAACATGGATTAATAGGTTCTCACATGACTATGAGGACAAACATGAGTGAAACGGTCTCAATCCAAGGGAGGAACATCAAATGGACCAAATTTGGGAACCGGAAGAGGTAAGGAGTCCGAAATGTACCTCTGTGCCTCCACATTGTGGAAACTCACTTGTAGTGTATAAGATGAACTAGATGGACCCATACTTACCCAAACATGGATTAATAGGTTCTCACATGACTATGAGGACAAACATGAGTGAAACGGTCTCAATCCAAGGGAGGAACATCAAATGGACCAAATTTGGGAACCGGAAGAGGTTTGGGAACCGGAAGAGGTAAGGAAACGTACCTCTGTGACTAAACGCCATTTTTTGGGGTCCAAACGATATTTTACGCCTAGAGCTCTTTTGGAGCTTCACGAAAAGTGGTTGGTGGCAGCATACGGCCTCACGGTCTTCCAGCTACGCATTTTGGAAGTTTCAGATAGAAATACAGAAAAAAATTAACAAAAAAAGGGGTGCAACACGAGGACTTCCCGGGAGGTCACCCATCCTAGTACTACTCTCGCCCAAGCACGCTTAACTGCGGAGTTCTGATGGGATCCGGTGCATTAGTGCTGGTATGATCGCACCCGTTTGTTTATGACGCGCAAACGCATATATGCCTTTCCGAGAGGATCTTGAACGTTTATTCGGCGGCGTAGGCCCCACTTGATGCTTAGGCCCGATCCGGAGTCCTAAGTGACCCTTATGTGAGAGGGAGGATGGATGCATCCAAAAAACACTATGCATAGCACTTTCGATTCATTGATTTGTGTCCGCACCAGAAAACGGCCCGGAAAAGCGTCCAAACGCCATTTTTTGGGGTCCAAACGATATTTTACGCCTAGAGCTCTTTTGGAGCTTCACGAAAAGTGGTTGGTGGCAGCATACGGCCTCACGGTCTTCCAGCTACGCATTTTGGAAGTTTCAGATAGAAATACAGAAAAAAATTAACAAAAAAAGGGGTGCAACACGAGGACTTCCCGGGAGGTCACCCATCCTAGTACTACTCTCGCCCAAGCACGCTTAACTGCGGAGTTCTGATGGGATCCGGTGCATTAGTGCTGGTATGATCGCACCCGTTTGTTTATGACGCGCAAACGCATATATGCCTTTCCGAGAGGATCTTGAACGTTTATTCGGCGGCGTAGGCCCCACTTGATGCTTAGGCCCGATCCGGAGTCCTAAGTGACCCTTATGTGAGAGGGAGGATGGATGCATCCAAAAAACACTATGCATAGCACTTTCGATTCATTGATTTTGTGTCCGCACCAGAAAACGGCCCGGAAAAGCGTCCAAACGCCATTTTTTGGGGTCCAAACGATATTTTACGCCTAGAGCTCTTTTGGAGCTTCACGAAAAGTGGTTGGTGGCAGCATACGGCCTCACGGTCTTCCAGCTACGCATTTTGGAAGTTTCAGATAGAAATACAGAAAAAAATTAACAAAAAAAGGGGTGCAACACGAGGACTTCCCGGGAGGTCACCCATCCTAGTACTACTCTCGCCCAAGCACGCTTAACTGCGGAGTTCTGATGGGATCCGGTGCATTAGTGCTGGTATGATCGCACCCGTTTGTTTATGACGCGCAAACGCATATATGCCTTTCCGAGAGGATCTTGAACGTTTATTCGGCGGCGTAGGCCCCACTTGATGCTTAGGCCCGATCCGGAGTCCTAAGTGACCCTTATGTGAGAGGGAGGATGGATGCATCCAAAAAACACTATGCATAGCACTTTCGATTCATTGATTTGTGTCCGCACCAGAAAACGGCCCGGAAAAGCGTCCAAACGCCATTTTTTGGGGTCCAAACGATATTTTACGCCTAGAGCTCTTTTGGAGCTTCACGAAAAGTGGTTGGTGGCAGCATACGGCCTCACGGTCTTCCAGCTACGCATTTTGGAAGTTTCAGATAGAAATACAGAAAAAAATTAACAAAAAAAGGGGTGCAACACGAGGACTTCCCGGGAGGTCACCCATCCTAGTACTACTCTCGCCCAAGCACGCTTAACTGCGGAGTTCTGATGGGATCCGGTGCATTAGTGCTGGTATGATCGCACCCGTTTGTTTATGACGCGCAAACGCATATATGCCTTTCCGAGAGGATCTTGAACGTTTATTCGGCGGCGTAGGCCCCACTTGATGCTTAGGCCCGATCCGGAGTCCTAAGTGACCCTTATGTGAGAGGGAGGATGGATGCATCCAAAAAACACTATGCATAGCACTTTCGATTCATTGATTTGTGTCCGCACCAGAAAACGGCCCGGAAAAGCGTCCAAACGCCATTTTTTGGGGTCCAAACGATATTTTACGCCTAGAGCTCTTTTGGAGCTTCACGAAAAGTGGTTGGTGGCAGCATACGGCCTCACGGTCTTCCAGCTACGCATTTTGGAAGTTTCAGATAGAAATACAGAAAAAAATTAACAAAAAAAGGGGTGCAACACGAGGACTTCCCGGGAGGTCACCCATCCTAGTACTACTCTCGCCCAAGCACGCTTACTGCGGAGTTCTGATGGGATCCGGTGCATTAGTGCTGGTATGATCGCACCCGTTTGTTTATGACGCGCAAACGCATATATGCCTTTCCGAGAGGATCTTGAACGTTTATTCGGCGGCGTAGGCCCCACTTGATGCTTAGGCCCGATCCGGA